TCCCTCCAGACCCCGTGTTTTAGCATGGCCGGTTCACTCTGCCTCTGATATCGGATCAGCTCTTACGCCTTCTTGTCTGAGTTACTGCTGTAACCGGAAACACAAACATAACTGATACCAGAACAGCAACTAAAGGTACGTATATTGTGGCGACCTGTGATTTAAAGAGTGCCGGTTGGCTGAAGATAATGTATTGGCCTTATAGGGTCAAGGACAACTGGCTGAGAGCTCTAAGGGTGATGGAGCTTCCTTACTTTTATTCCCATCTTTTCCAGAGTTAAAACAAGAGACCCAAGAGGTCACGAGACATCTTGTGTTTACAGATTCCCTCTCGTTCCATCTTAAAAAGAACATTTGCATGCTATACATATACTCTACTTCCGAGTTTCGGCCTTAAATATTTTATCCATTTGTCACAAGGCTCACTAAGACTGGGGTTAACTGCCTTGCATGTTCCATGTCCATGTCATGGCTACATTAGGCTCCATTATGGCTCTTGGGTGCCCTGCCTGAGCCCCAGTGAGGGCAGCAACTGTTCTCCCATTACGCCTCATTATGGCTCCCATGGCTGCTGTCACTAAGCCGTTGTGGACCTGTGTGGGATATGATGTATGTGCGACATATGCTCTTTCAACTAAAAGGATGTAGATGCACTGCAGGTTGTTTGGCACTTTGATCTTGTGTCTTTGCATGTGTGAAAACATGAAATATGATATTTTGAAGAGTGTCTGTATACAAAACAGTAGGCCTCCATTGTTCTATAGTCAATGGGAACTGAAACAATTTTCTTATCAACATTTATTCAAAATATCTTCTGTCTTCCACAGAAAATAGAAAGTCATTCAGGTTTTCATTCAAGTAATTTCATTTCAAGTCAAATCACGCAAAGGTGATCTGAATTTTCGTTTTTTTTCTTTTAAAGTCTCAATGCAATAGAAGTAGCGATAGATCTTTTCTTCTATAGACCATTTCACAAGATGTAAACAACACTGGTCCAGAAGCACTTCCTGTTTCAGTTTTTTAACACTACATAAAAGCTGGGATAAAATACAACCAACAGAACATTTAAAACTGAATCAAAAAGTTAAACAAACATCTTTAAGATGTTTTCTTTACATGTGGAATAAAGAACATCTTGTGAAATGGTCTATATTGTGACGTTTGTATATCTATATTGTGACGTGACGAGTGTAATGGATTATTATGAAGAAATGTAGGATGGGGACTTGGTTCTATTGCATGAGTTGTTGATGCAGATAAACGCAAGCTTGCAGTTTTAAACGGACTAAATGGTTATAAGAAAGTCTTGCATACCTCACCAGAGAGAAGACAGTCATTTTTATTGGAGGGATTAAATATCACAATGTCAAAATTCATCAGTTCACCCAAAAATGTCATTCTGCCATCAAATATGGTAAACGGAAGCTTGACAGTACATTCTTGACATGCAAGAACAAACCTCATTGGTTCTTGCATGTCAAAATGGACATTTAATCTTCCTTTTATCTAATTTGATGTGTTCTATGTATGTGCATATTGATGGTATAATTTTATGTATGATACTTTGTCTGCTAACTCATCCTGCTACATTGAATGACTTCGTATCAGGTATAACGATCCTCACTTCTGTGGAAGTTGGTGCAAAACAACTGTGGAAGTAGACATTGCCAGTAGACATTGAAAGTAGACATTTTATATATATATATATAAATCTAGTTAGCGATATCATAACGTTTTTACTATTGTGTTGCAGTTTATGGAGCCTTGTGGTTATCACTGTGTGTTTGTATTGAAGCCAGTGATGGTTTCTGTGTGTGTAGGAGTGCTCGGGCTCAATGTTGGTGCTGTGCTGCACGTGTGGGCTGGGGTTGGACATATTGGCCGAGGCAATAGATTGTGTAGTTGAAGCTCTTGTATTGGGTGTAGATTAATGTTGGAGGTGATTTGCTGTTGGGCTCTCGAACCGTTTTGTACTACAGTAAAGTTCATGTCTCCTAATACAGAGTTGCTACTCTCATACACTCCTTCACATACAACTTCTCCCACAATCAGTCTCAAATATATACTTTGAAAGGTGGAAAAGACTATGGTAGAGCTGCACGATTAATCATTAAAAGATTGCGATCTCGATTCAAGCACCCCTACATTTTTTTTTTTCCTAAATGACAGCGATTCAGCTATGTCTATTAAACCTTTGCCAAAATCAGGATGGAATATTCAGATCTGCGCTGGTGATGCCACTGATAGAGCAGTTGTCATGTATAGGTACTGTATGAAACAGCTTCAGTCTTTTCAACCTCACAGTATTGTTATCACAGAAGTACTGGGATACAACTAAGGTTTATAGTTTGGATATAAACACTGATGTATACGGTAACGATCAAAATAGAGCAATCCACCCTTTGAAAGTAACTTTGCTCTTCAAAAACACAATTGTACCATCACATCGTTACGCCACTAGGTGCTGACAACAAGTGACTGTTAAAAAATGTATGTCATTGAATCATTCCTGAGATTCATTCAAGAACTCTTGATTCATCCAGTAATGAAATAAGTAAAGTAAAGAACCTAATCTTCATGTGATTTTGTTTAGTTGTCTGTTCAGAACTGTGGGAAAATTGTGATCTTTATTTGAAACAAAAACAATCATGATTCTAAATGTATTCATAATCGTGCAGCTCTACTATAATACATAGTATGTAAATGAGCATGTAGCACTGACAGAAATGTAGTACTTTATTTATAGCAGTGAGTTATATTAAATTTACATTAGAAAAAAAAATATTTTTCATATTTGTGTTTGAGAGGAAGAGGAAGCATCAAGGAGTATGTTTGGAGGGGGCAGTCTCTCTGCTCTGGCCTCGTGCCCTGGCAATTATCTCAATGATTTCCTCCTCTTTTCAATTCTTTCCATTTCCACACGGCCGTCCCCTCCATTAAAGGAGCAATTTACCAGAGTGCTGTGACACAGGAGCCAGGAGAGAGAGAGACAGAGAGAGAGTGTTGGTATGTTTGGGAAGGTGAGGATGAGATTAGAAAGTGATGTTGAAGGAGGGACGGTTAGAGCAAAAAAGAAAAGCTGCTCTAACTGTCTTAATTTAGCATTCAGAAATGACGTGATTCTTACAAAATAGATTGAAATAGAAATAGATTATTAAAGGGGTGGTTTACTGCTTTTTTCTTTGCATGATTTTTGTGGGGTGCAATATAACATGTATTCGTGGTTTTTCATTTTTAAAAGTCTCATTTTTCATAAATTTCACCTTTATTGTAATCTACTTTCTCCTCTGTCATTTGAACAACTGGTTAACTTCCTTATTCTATGAAACCACTCACCTCAGAAACAGGCAGTGCGCTCAGATTGGTTAGTTTGGGCCGGTGTGTTGTGATTGGCTAAACTGTAGTGCCCGGTTTCCGGAAGGTTCACGCCCGTTGTACGTGTTGTTCATGTCAAATGTAAATAATGGTGTCGATACTGCAGTATCAGTATGAGCCAGAATCAGACCCAAAAAGCGGCGATGAAGAGAGGCAAGCAGAACCTCACCACTCACGGCTCTTACAAAACATTTCTGAATGGTAATTTTCCTATATTTTGTTTAACTTTATACACGTTTGTTTTACACAATAGCATCAAACTGACTGGCTACTATATACACAAACAGCGTTGGCATTGGTTTACGTTCTTGATCAAAACGAAAATAACGTCATAAAGTATATATACATGAAAAATACATTTACAACATTAGTACATACAAAATTCAGGTCCATAATGTCTGTACGCGTTTGTCGTAGACACAAAATAGCATAACTAATAGCCTAGTGGCTAAAAAAGCCAGCGCTGGCATTTGATAAAACTAAAACTTTACGTCTGAAATTATACATGCAAATACATTTAAAATGATTAAGTCTTATCCTAATTACAGGTTGTGGCCCAACAACTGCTGCCTCTGGTTTTAAAGTTGGAACTGCTTCATGTTTTAGTAACAGTTTCTTGTTGAATCCGGCATTGAATTTGTGGAGATTCTGGAAGCTGTCGTCCGTTAATGTGCTGCACAGAGAGCTAAATTACGATCGTCATTTTCAGGAACATAATCAAACATAAATTGTATCCATTGTGGACAAATTACAACGTCCGTGGGAAGCCCGAACACAGAAGACCTGACAGCTGGGTGAACAACACATTCGACGAGCGACAGAAATATGGCCATGCCCTTTTTTTTGCATATTCCGGAGGGAGGGTTGATGCAAATGTATGGGTTAGTGACGTCTAAAACCGGGCTTTAGTCCCAATCAAGTCGTTTTTGTAGGCATTAAACTAACTGATTTGTAAAAGACAATATCTCTGCTTACATTAAACTTTCAGCGCTGCAACTTTGCAGATACTGTTCATGCACCAACAGCAACATTACACACTATTTAAAATGAAAAATGTGAAATCACAATCCACCACCCCTTTAAGGCTGATGGTGAGAAATCAATTTTTCCTTGATTTTTTTTGAAGTAATTTTTTTTATATATATATATATTTTAATAAAATAAATATCATTGGTTCCACTCTTTTTTTTCATGGGTTCCAAGAAAAAAATCATCATTGATAATAATAAGAAATGTTTCTTGAGCATTAAATCAGCATATTACAATGATTTCTGAAGGATTATGTGATTTCATGTAAAAAATTCAGATTTGACTTCACAGGCATTTTGCAATCACATTTCAAAATGAATTTAAAAAAAAGGATATTTAAAATTTTAATAATATTTTGTATTTAATATTTTTGATCAAATAAACGCAGTCAATCTTACCGACCCAAACTATGCATATGTAATTAGTGTACCATAGGGGAAAAAAGAAAATAATAAAAATGTGTGAGTGGTATCTCTTGTCAAGTCATTTTTGTTCATAAACAAAAATGACTTGATATTTGGATTATAATTGGTTCAAATGTCACTGTCATTCCTTTGCATCATTTTTCTTTCTGTTTTTTGCAACTTCTTATTCAGAATCGTCCTGCAGAATCGGCTAAGGACTAGTCCAGAAAGGCAATGGAGGGGGCGGAGCATGAGGTGGATAGGCGGAGCCTTATACAGAGTCTCAGCCAATAAGCTCTCTCGCACTCAAACCACCTCCACACCTAACAGTAGACCAGGTAACCATTTTGCAGAGATCGTTGCTGCTTAGACATACAGTACTGTGCAAAAGTCTTAGGGAATTTAGTATTTTCTCAGAATCAATGATATTGAGATCAGATCATACCGGCTGTTGTCAGATTCCTTGTGCATACAAAAACCTCTCTGGATTATTACAATTAATGGCAAAAGGAATGTTTGAATGCAAACTAATATTTTTAACTGACACTCTAGAAAAAAAATATATAAATATCTGAAAATTATAAAGTACCTAAGACTTTTACACATTACTGTAGATTACCTGATAAAAAAAAAAAAATTTGAAAAAATCAGTGTCAAACCACTAAAATCAGATTTGATTTTTTTGTTTTTTGTTTACATGAATATGTGCACCTGCGGTGTGTTTTTGTGCTTTTTAAATGGTCGGTATTTATTGGTTGTCTCTTAAATACACGGTCCAGATTATCAACCCATCCAGCAAGTGAGTGTAGGGGGGTTACAATTCGCCTTCTGAAATAATAAAGCTGTCATCTGTCACTGGCTACAGGTTGAGAGAGAGACACACAGACAGAACAGGAGAGATGGTGAATAGCCTAGATTAAACCTTAAAGCCCTAGTCAGAAGTGGAATTAAAGATCAGCTACTGCTCTATGACAGGAGTTCCACACAAACACCCATACACGTGTCAATTTATGATCTCCCCAACAAACTGTAGTCTCACCACACACGGGTCTGGTAGTTAAAACACACAGACTCAATCTCCCATTCCCTTTTTCACATGGACTTTACAATTGCAATCCACATAACCAGCGAGCCATTTCTCACATGCACTCAGATATTACATTCCTTGCGTCTGCCCTCATTGCTCGATCACTCATTGCTACATTGAGTGCAGTGTTTATACCTAGTTCTCTCTTAGATTTCCATTTGGCTGTGGTTGACGGACCCTGATATATAAATAAACAGCATGATATCTTGTCTTAGTTGTACTTGCTGGCCTCCGTCATTACCAATGAACATGATGACCTTTAATTACATGCTATTAGTCTGGCTTGTTATAAATAAATATGCTTGTGTACAAGCTTGGATGAGGCAAGCGAAAAAAACAAAAAAAAAACAAGCACTGGCCTACAGCTTACTTCAAGCTGTAATATCTACATTAACAAAGACAAATGTGTATATTTGTAAATCTTATGTGTTTTTTTGTTTTTTTTTAAATTGGGTAAAGTAATGTTTTTAAAGGAATAGTTCACCCAGCAATGATAATTAGGTCATTATTCTTTACCTTTATGTCAATCCAGATCAAACACAAAAACAAATCACTTACAAAAAAAAGTTTCTTCTGTGAAAACCAAACATCACAATTTTAGCGGAATACTCATGCTGCTCTTTTCCATACATTGAACGCATTAAGTATCCAGGGACTGTAAAAAAGTACTATTGGAAGTATTATAAAATCATGAAAGTTGTCCATAAAACTTGGAAATCTTATGACAGCTTTGTGTGGTGAACAGACCGAAATTTAAGTTATTTACTGCTAAATGTATGCTTTTGTGTTCAATAGAAGAAAGACATAACCTTTCTTAAATTGGTGCTTAATCCTTTATAATGAGTGTGAATAATATCTTTCCATACTACAGGAGAGTGGTACAATCCATATGTTTCCTCAACTAGTAATCAGGGAAGAACATCAGCCACACGTTACGTAGCCAGGTTAGTATTTTAAGATATCGTTCATTCAACAGCATAACAATACATAAGATATGAAGGTGAATTTGTTTACTGGTTTTGTTTTTTGTGTGTGTACATCAGTCGTGCTGTGCAGAGGAGTTTAGCTATAATACGACAGGCCAGACAGAAGAAACAGAAGGCCAAGCAGTACTGTATGTACTATAACCGATTCGGCAAGTGTAACCATGGTGACACTTGCCCCTACATCCACGACCCTGACAAAGTAGCCGTCTGCACCAGGTACTGAGTTTCTGTGCACACTCTCACAAAATGTCTGACTTTGAAAGCTGGCTTCAAATTAAACTCTTGATTGGTTGGCAGGTTTCTCCGAGGCACATGTAAGCGGACTGATGGGACTTGTCCTTTCTCGCATAAAGTAGCCAAGGAGAAGGTAAGTCAGTTTACTTTTAAGGGTTCTTCCAAAAACAGGACAAGATAATGGACGCTGCAAAGAAAAAAGAACCGACACAGCTGTCGGGCCAAGTGTGCCAAGTATTTATTTGATTTGTAACACTGAAATGCAAAGTTTATGAAGCAATTTTCCTTCAAATTTAATTAAATTTGCCCCACACTGTAAAATAGGTTTTTTTGAAGTTCTAAATAAAAGAAAAACTTATTGGAGTATGCTGTACAAGAAAATACCATTTCAGTCTTTCTACTTCAAAATTTCAATGCATTGCCATTTCTTTGTGGAATTTACTAGCAATTTCTAAATGAAAATTGTTTCTAAACCAAGTTTGCACATCATTATTATTGTGTTTAATAGGACTCTCAATACTTAGTTGAATATCTCCGAACTTTATAACATTAACTTTTTTTCACAAAGCTAAGCACAACAAATATTGCAGAACAAACCGCAAGCTGTCAGTCAAATGGACTTAACTTGTTTGATGCATCTGCTGTCCTGATCCGTGCTGTGCTTTCAGTGTCTCATGATGCGCAGCGGTCAGAGCTGCATGCTTTCATTGACTTGTGCAGTAATAGTATTTATAGCTCTTAACTTAATAAAACAAGCAGTGTAACTACAGTATGATTACCTGAAAATGTAGATATATATGCAGGTGTAAGGTACTTTATCTAAATTAAATACATGCACTTCTCTTGCTTTTGCTCACGTGCCTGCGATTACCTTAGGTTGCCGACCCCTGATTTAGTGCATGTTTACATAAACTGGGAAAAAGAAAATTGGTGTAGAAACCATTTCCATTTAGAAAGTAAACGACTATCAAATTTCATAACCAATTACAAAGAAACGGGAAGTAAACCATTGAATGAAACGTGAAAGTGGAAGTTGTAAAACTATAAACTGCAAGTACTGCAGTAATTGTTTTATTTATAACTTTGAAAAATACGTTTTTTTACAGAGTAGAAAAGCAAATCAAAAACGCTGTGGAATGGAAGAGCTTATACTTGTGATTTTTTTTTTTTTTTTTTTTAATCACAAAAATACAGCAGCTTCAGAGATTTTAGTTTGATTTGATCATTTTTTTATTAAGGTTTATCTCAATTGAAGCATAGTTGAACTGAATTCGTCTATCACAGGGAAGATCATGATCTAATAGACTTGATTCCAGTCATAACTCAAACATAAAATGTGCAGCTACTGTATTTTATCTTTGTAAGACAGTATTGACAGTTGGATTTATGCATAAAGCCATAAGAATCTTAACATAAGTCATGACTGACCGTATGTGGCGGTTTCATGTTACTGTCAGGGCTTGTGGGCCTGTGGGGTGATAATTAAAGATACTATGTCAGGGACTTAGCTTCCTCTCTCAGGTTATGTTGGTGTGTTACAGTCTCAATATCTTTGAGGCAATCCCACTAGATTCCAGAGTTACATACTTCGAGGTCTTTGCCTAGGCATTGCCGTCATGGAGACAGGTGGAGATGGGATCAGTATTGACGCAACATGTGATCCATCATATACTAGTCTAGATTCTCCTGAAGTGAACATTTCGATCTCATTACTTACCTACCTCTCGCAGACAGACATACACGTGCATGGTCCCATTTTTACATGCCCATGATGCTGTGCTCTCCTTATCTTGTTAAACAATTAGTTTCCAATAGCATTTTATTTGCCGAGATCTGTAATTCATGTTGAAAAAATATCTGACAATAGCTGGGTTGCTGAGATAAAGTGAGTAATATCAAAGTCTACAGAATAACACAAGATGTATTATTTTGAACGTGGAAAAGTGCAGCGCTCAATATGGCGGAATTTCTAAAAAAAAGAGCATATCGCCGATTCCTATAGAAACAGTCAGACGTGTGCTTCCACTGCGCATCCAGTCTGAGAAATGATGTTCCCTGTCATGTTTCGAGCATTTAAAAACAAAATGTATGAGACAGTTGTTGCCAGATTTCATTGATTCCTAATATGAAATTTAATCGTAAACTTGGCCAATGGTTTTGGAGAATTTTATGTTTCCCCATTCAAAGAGATAGGAGCTGCACTTGCAAAGATGGCTGCCGAGTGGAATGACTCGTCTTAAAGGGACTTTGTTAATATTTAGCTTGTCATGTAATTTCAATATGGCGGCCACCATGAAGGGAAACCAACCTTATCTATGCTCCTCATGAAAAAAAAAAAAAAAAACAGTCAGAAATCTGTATCTCATGTAAATGTACATAATTTTAAATATTTGTCACAATTAGCATTTATTTATTTCTTTTGAAAAGTAAATGAAAACTAACCACTACTTGGTCCACTTTATATCCAAGTTTTCTTTAGGGTTCCTTTGATCATGGAAACACGGAAAATCTGTTTTCCATGCCTGAAAGTAAAATTAATAAATCAGTGAATTCAGTGACAAAATGCCAATTTTTTCCAGGTTTAGAAGGACACTGTATGAAACTTTCCCCATACTTCCTTCCCACAGTGAGAAACCTGTTTCCCTTGTTTGTTTGACACAGAAAAAAACACCCCTCTGAGCATTCACTTTCTGTAAAACACACATACTTTCTCTCTCTCTCTGCTCCTTTCTCTCCCTCCCTCTCTTCATATTCTAACACTTGTTCAGACTTTAGCTTGTATTTGGTTCAAGGCCCTATTGAACAAAAAAAAAAAAACACACCCACAACCCCCCACACATACAAACACACCGAATCACTGCACCTGTGACAGTCGTCACCCTCTACACTCTCCAGTGCACTGAGAGTCCAGCTGTCTGCTTGTCTTAAAGGAGCAGAGCCACCTCATCGCAGCACAGGCCCACCTGCTAGTCCCGACCCCATAAGCCCCCCTCCTTCTATTCCTACACAGCCTTGCTTGGGGCTCAATTTAACCCCGCACCCTGTGTCATCCGCGTATATGTCATGAAGCATGGCTTGAGTTCACGCCTGCAATTGAAAACGATCCAGTTCCCCCTCCAAATAACTGAGAAACAAGACCCCCAAACCCCATCACCCCACTCGTGGCTAGCGTCCATTCCCCTCCCCTTCACATAAACACATTATGCAGGTGGTACGACGCCCCGCTTGGGTCAATATTTCTGTTGCAGTTAATTAAGCAGAAATGATATGACCCCCATGGAAATGGGATTCCACTTAAGAGGGCGGCGGCCAATCATCCCACCCCCCCGCTCATCGTGTGCGCGACCCTCACATTCTATTTTAAACCAAGAGAGCCCTCAGCGAGCACTCAGATTATTCATACATGCAGATTATATTCACGAGGAGTGCAAATCTGTGCCATTGACACATGCACATAATTACTGATTAGACAATGTTTGATTAAATGCGTGTTTTTGACTGGGACTTCAATAGATATGTGATTTAATACTGGTGCTATATGTGTGTAACTCACTTATGTTTCCCATCACTTAGAAAGGGAATTTAAAGGCTAGACTGTATTGTTACTGCTCTTATTCTTTTAAAAGTTCATTGGTGTTTCAGACTAAACGTATTCTTTTACTCACACTCACTCTTTTGTTCAGTGCTGGAAATATACTTTTTGAGATTATTTGAGGTTTGATTAATTTTGTATTGTTTGCATTTTCAAGCTCTAAATCGATGCTTTGTTTTTGTTTTGTTTTTTTACTTCTTTGTAGATGCCTGTGTGCTCATACTTTCTGAAGGGGATCTGTAATAACAGTAGCTGTCCATACAGCCATGTCTATGTCTCACGCAAAGCCGATGTGTGCAAAGACTTCGTCCGAGGCTACTGCCCGCAGGGAGATAAGGTAAGACAGGTTATAATAAGGGAAGATCATTTCTGTTGCAAACACCTGTTGGTTGATTATTCAGTTAGGGGAAGTGTTTGATTATTTGAAAACTTAAACCATTTTTTATTTTATTTTTTATTAAAATACAATGAGGTTTTTTTTTTTTTTTTTTTTTAATTCAATTGTTCTCTGAAATGCTTGGTGTGATGTAATGACAGCAATATTTGCTATTTTGCTATTTCTAATCTATTAATCGCTATAAAAAAATGTGTAGATGGATAGTAAATTGATTAAAAATATTTTAATTAAATATATTTTCTTTTAACTATATTTAACTTTTTAATTTATAATTTATTATAGAGGGGTAGTAAAGGGGTAATAAATAAATAAATAAAAATAGCCTCAACTCTCTTCACTCTTTCCCTGTCTGCGTTTTAGAAAAAAAAAAAAGAAAGTTGCCAGCCACCACTGGCAACATCACTTTAGGCCATTTTCAAGACCCCCAGAATATTTTGTTGTATGGATATATGAATATGCATGCAATATATCAAAAGAAAGATTGGACCCTCTGTTTTTTTAACAAAAAAAGGAAAAAAAGCAGTCTTATTCTAGCCTATTCTATTTTTTATCAACACTTTTGGGTTAAAGGAGTTGTTCACTTTTTAAAAAAAACTTTTGCTGATAATTTACTCACCCCCATGTCATCCGAGATATCCATGTCATTCTTTCTTCAGTCGAAAAGAAATTAAGGTTTTTGATGAAAACATTCCAGGAATTTTCTTCATATAATGCACTTTACTGTTGACCAAACTTTTCAAGATCTAAAAGACAGCTTCAGTGCAAACTGCAAACTGTTCAAAGGGCTTTAAACGATTCCAGACGATGAATAAGGGTCTTATCTAGCGAAATTTTAAAAAAAATAACAAAGTTAAGTTTTATAAGCTCAAATGCTCGCCTTGCTCTGTTCTGTGATGCACGTTCGTGACTCTCCTGTTCGAACTCGTTCATAAAAATGAACAAATGTTTTTCGAGTCATTTGGTTCATTCAACGAACGAAATGAATGAACTGACTCGGAAAAAGATTTGAACAGGAGAGTCGTGAACGCGCATCACAGACCAGAGCAAGGCGACCATTTGAGTTTATAAAACTTAAACTTTTTTTTTTTTTTTTTTTTTTTGAATGATCGATCGTTTCGCTTGATAAGACCCTTATTCATCGTCTGGAATCGTTTAAAGCCCTTTGAACAGTTTGCAGTTTGCACTGAAACCTTTAAACGTTTGGTTACCAGTAAAATGCATTATATGGAGAAAAATCCTGGAATGTTTTCATCAAAAACCTTAATTTATTTTCGACTGAAGAAGAAAGACACGGACGTCTTGGATGATATGGGGGTGAGTAAATTATCAGCAAAAGTTTTTTTTTTTTTTTTTTTTTTAAGTGAACTACTCCTTTAAGTTTCATAAAACAGCAACAGTTACAGCAAAAAGCTGAGAAAATCGCATATTTGTCAAAGACTACGTCTGGATGGGATTCAGAACAATGATCAAAACATTAGATGAGGTAGATCGAGTCCATCAACTTCCCCAAAGCTTAACAGTCCTAGAGCTCGTCCTGGGTCTGCATTTCATTCAGTGACATTAGACAGTTTTTATTTATATGCTCATGTTTTGTTTTTCTTAAAAATCATACTAAGGCACAGTAACTTCCCCTTATTGAGGAATCATTCTTTTATTTTGTACACAATTGTATTGTATTTTGTAATCAAAGAATTATGTGGTAAATGGTGTTGATATAGAGAGTGAATAACCGTGACTGTCATTTGGCTCAGTTTAGTGTTTCAGGTCAAGAAAATGTATCTTCTACATCTAAATTTTTCCCTTCTACTTGCATCAACATACTGTAGATGCAAGTACATGTGTTTTGACATTCATAACAATTGTTGTATTATAGTGCTTTGCAGTTGATGACCGTTTTATAGGTCTTAATGAATGATGGTGATGACATTTTGCAAGAGTTTTAAAATAGAGCTCTTAAAAGTTGACTCTGTTCCAATTGTTAATCTAAACCATCATCCAGGTGCTTATGCATTTGGTTTCCTCCATGTTTGTGAGTGAGTGACGTATTGAGGGCTGTAACGAGAGGACAACATGACCCACATTTACCAAGTGTCCCCTTTTACCCTTTATCCAGCAGGTTCTAACCCATCCATGACCTCTTTCCTCACCCCATCTCTCCCACACACACACACACTCACACACATATGCTCCTGTTGTCACCGTCACACCTGTCTCTCAGTCTCATGAAGCCATACAGGAACGTATAAACGTATGCTTGCTATTAAATTCTTCTTCTCATCAAATTTAATTTCTTTTTCTTTTTTCTTTTTTTTAAGTACAGGAAGGTTCCGTTCATTAACATTGGTTAATTAGACATCATGAACTAACAATGAACATTACTTAACAGCATTTATTGATTTTGGTTAATGTTAATTTATACATGTACTAACACATTTTTAAAGGTGTATTAAAGTGTGTTGCATAAATAAACATTATTTAATGTATTATGAATGAACATTAATTAATGAAGGAAAATGTATAAATGAACATTATCAAGATTAGAAATGCTGTAAAAAAGAAAATCAGTAGCCTAATAAATGCAATAAATTCACATGAAGTAGGTCGCCTCATGGACATCACATGACCAACCGACTAATCTTCTCTTTAACCACTCCGTCAAACAATTTCCAAGACAAGTCCGAAACAACTGCTATATTGGCCAATTAAAAATTACTGAGTGCATCTTTTTATAGGTCCATATGTCATTTTGCTACAGATTTAAAGCGGGAAGCTTTTGAGATAATAACATAATTCATATATGCCAGACCAAAAGTGATTTATTTTTTTTAAACTGACAGTACGCCTGACTTTATTGTTCCTCCGCAGAAACTTTCATCGCCGCCCCCATCAGTTTCTTCCTCTTTTGGATTTGTCTCATTCTAATGAATTGTTTCTCTGCAGTGTTTTCTGCGTCTCCCGTCTTCTCTCTTTGTCTCTGTCTGTCTCGCGCTCTGTTTTTCCCCCTCCATTTGTTCTTCTTTGCTTTCCCTTCATCGTAACAAATGCATTCTCTTGCTGTCAGGGCTCATTTAAATATTTGGGGTGAGAATGAGAATATATAAGAAGAGCGATATTAATATTTATTCTATTAGCCGAAGTGCTTAGGTTTGTAATTTTGCGCCGTCCCAAAAGCACTGTCTTAGATATGATGGATAGCACACCATAATTATGGACGTGAAAAAGTGCTGATGACAGCAGTACAGGCGAGAGGCCAGCAATGGATACGCCAGCAGAGCAAGGGTTAAAGCACACTCTCATCCTCTTCATTTCTCCCTCCCTCTGCTCTCTTTTTTCTGTCTGCCATTTCCCATGTTTTTATGTCCCGTTTCTTCTTTTGTTTGCTGGCCACATCCATTCACACCTCACCTGGATCACTCTTCTTTTGATTCTCCTACCTTTCCTCTCATCCCTCTATCACTCTGTCATTATTCTCATTTCCCAGCTCTTTGTCATAGCTCACACCACCATTCTATCTTTCTGTCTCTCTCTCTCGCTCTTTCTTTCTCACTGTCTCAGTAATGTAAAATGTGCTGACTCTTTCTGCTTTGTGGCCAGTAGAAAGCTCTTCTAATAGGCCCCAGAGACTTCCCAGCCTTTCTTAAATCAAGTGGAAAATTGTTAACTTGCACTGATATAAAGATGTTCCATCCACTTCTCTTTTTTTTTTCTCTCACACACTTCTCTTTTCCCTCTATTTCGCTGCTTTTATGTAAATTAAAATGTATGAGAGAGCATGGTTGGAGAGGATTTGGGCTTTTGTGTTTTCTTTGCTCTGATCATAGCCGTGAACATCAAAGTTAATGAGCCTTCTTAGTACTGCGTCCACATCCTATCCAATCAGTAGGATTTTCTTCTAATTAGATATGATTCCAAATAGCCAATCAACTTATAAGTTTATGAATTAATTAGTATAGGTTACACTTTTGTATGAAATTTATGCAAACCAAAGATTAAAATGCTGTCTGCGTCAAAGACTTCAAGCACTCTGTCAAATGTACATTTCTGATTGTATGATGACCCATCATAGTTTAATCTGTCCCACCACAGTTTTGGAGTGACCCTTAAAGATCACTAATGTTGTGTTTTGAGCCATTGCTTTGGCAAAGCAACTGTCGATCGAACAGAAAACTGGTCTAATTAAAAAGGTTGCGTTTACGCAAACAGCTACTAATTCGCGTCTCGGAACGGCTCCTTTCACACAGCTCCATCAATGCAAGTGTTGTGAGTTTAACGTGGATTTTTGGTTACTCTGGTATATCTAACTTAAGTTGCATGCATTTTGTTCTAGCATTATTTAATTTGTAGCAATTTTGCACTTTGACAGTAAGTTTGAGAGTAGCTTCCCCAACACTGAATTGATATCACCCATACTTCTCATATTGTAGCTTTCACTAATTTGAAAAAAACAAATGTTGGTGGGTGTGAATACATTTTAGGGATAGTTTTCCTAACAATTAAATTCATGTTGTCATCATTGAGGCCAATATTGGACCTAACTGCCCTTTCACTGTATGGAGGGGAAAAAATCCTCAGTTTTCACTTCTATCAGAAGTGTTCTTCTTTCAGAAGTGTGCTTTCTGTGTTCAGCAGAAGAAAGAAAGTCAGACAGGTTTGGAACGAGTAAATGAAGATTTTTTTTTTTTTGGGTGAACTAACCATGTTGGTCTGGCTTAAGTTGGTCTCATAAACCAGACTTTGGGTTCTTCTGGCCAGGAACTTCTCCCGCTTAAGAAGAGGGTGTTGTTTGTGTTTTTTATGTGACGAAAGACGAGGCAAACCCGTCAGGGCTTCCACGATAATATACTTCTATGCAACTAAGTGTTAGTCCTTGCAAACAATAGAGCTGCTGGCTCTACAAAAGATTATACAGACAGCAATGAGGACATCTGAATCTTTTTTACACTTAAAAAAACTCTTTAAAAACGTGCCCACCATGACTTTAGAATACAATAGCAGCCAACCAAGTCTGAAATTGGTGGGTTCAACCAGCTCTGGCTATCTTAGTGGTCAATATGCATCAAATTGACACCAGAGAGTAGACTATGGATGCAGTCAATGTTGTTGAATTATAAATTCCCTGGAGATGCCAGTACATTTCCCTACAAAACAGCCCGGGCCCATCCTAAACGCCATATTGACGATGCCATAGGGGCCCAACAAAACAAAGCCCTTTTTTTTTTACTTTTTTTTTTTTTGACATTTGCATCACTTAATTGCGCTCAGTGTGCATCTTTGAGTGCAACAATGCAAGATTTTTTTTTTTTTTTCTATCGGTGTGTACATTTTGTTTCCCTACAGTCGGAAGCCATTACATGCACTTTTGATGATGGTTTCTGTGTAGCACTATTTATGATGGTTTCTGTTATCTAAATTTCCTGTTGTATGTTGAAAACCTATAAGGTGCACACATGTGGAAAAATGAATTCTCGGTCAGCGCCACCTATCATGCAGCCGTGAATTAGATGAGGGCAATTAATCGTTTCACGCTCAGTGTGAAAGGGCCTTTACGCTGAATACATTATGAGCTAGTGAACAGTGATGTCGGTTCTATTTCTACTAAATATTTTGCCGCATGTCAAGATGACTTTATCAGTTGTCTGATTGGGAATTACTGGTATTCATATTTAGCTGTGATTGAAATGGATAACCAGTAACTAACATCATGAAAAAGGGGAAACTTTGAATTAAATGTAGACTTTTTGAGGGGGAAAGCATGTGGAACTTGGCATTTTCCCCATAAACTTTATTCAAAGATCAAGCGCATAAGTCTTAATTGTTCATATTGTCGTGAATATGAAAACAGAATCGGTAGAATTACTTACGATCAGATTATCCCACTGTACAGTGTTTGTAATTTCTCACAGTTTACACATTTGTTCTATTTGCCTTCACCGGACCTTTGAATGATTAAAGTGCGACATGGATGTTATCAGTCAAACAAGAAACAAATGGGTGTTTAAAAAAAGAAAGGTCCCAAATGCTCTTCTGAAATGGGGTGGAATTGAAATCGACTGAATTCAAGTGGCAAGGGATTTAGCAAATTGGGCCAATTAGCCATGAGTGTGGTGAGTGATGATGTTGTCTATAGAATGATTTAGGGGGCATTAAGAGAC